GGTTAGTGATATATACATATGTATATACATGTATATATATTTAATTATTTTTTATTCTCAGAATGCATTTATCTGTTATGTGTTTCTACATATGTACATATTGATAACGAATGTTGGCTAATGTTTCGCAGAACGCCCGAAACGTTTGATCAAAACAAAAAAAACGTGCGAGAAGGTATCTGAACGTAAGCAAAACGCTCTCACTCGTATTTGAATTATAGCCGACATATACATACATACATACAGACATCGAGAAATGACTTCTTCAGCACTTGAAATATGTGCGTCAGGACCGCACTCAATTCAAGTCTCTTATTTTCAGGCTTGATCAACAGTCTAATAATCATTACGCGATGCATTTACTTTTACATACATACATAGATACACATGTATTTAATTCTTCTATGAAATACAATATTATGAAATAAATAAAATCTGCAGATGCATATACATACATTCATATGTATACATATTGTTGACATTATTACAAATACATATGTATATATTTATGTATGTATGTATGTATGTATCTACTTAAATCTATTCCCATCAGATAAGTTACCATTGAAAGATTAAAATGTTTTATGAGCGTGCCAAACGCTTTCATGGTTTTACTATACTCTTCTCTTTGAAGAGAAGCAACGGGACCTGTCAGTGCAAAAATTTAAATTTTTGTACACCACTACTTGTGCGCACATTCACATACGTGCAGACATGCATATGTTCCTGTTTGAGAGAGCAGAGCAGAGAGCAGCAGAGAGAGCTCGAAAATTGTGCACAGCGGCTCTTCATTTCACAATCAACCATGTTGGTCGAGCGCTCGACGCGTTGTGAAGGACCTCATGTCCTTCTTGGCTTGTTGTTGATCGAGGCTAACAGTAAGGAGCACGAGCAAGCACGAAGCTGAGTTGGTGCTGCCATAGATGCTTGTCTCAATGTTGGATGGTTGGTGTCCGTAGGCAATAGAAATTCACGAAAGAGGTTTGCAAATTAGAATTTGCTATTAAATGTCATTCACGCTTACACAGGTGTCGGCGTCCTTGTTTATGGTAAGGCAGAGAAACAGAGCGAGATACATACAATATACACGGAAGGAGAACAAATCATTCCCGATGGCGTCTATTTCAAAAGGGGGGTTGTTGATGGCTTGGGGCAAACAACTGACGTAAAGGTCGCGCTGGACTGCCAAGCATCCCACTTAGAAATGTGCATACATACATACAAACATAGATGCTTATGTATGTGCTTGTGCAAAAACTGACTAGATAATGAATTATTTGTATTGCTATCTACATACATACATATGTACGTGAATACATACATACACACACGCATTTGTATTAAGTCTTATACAATGAGAAGCAGCGGGAACTCTATCAGATCAAATATAAGTTGATGGCGTTGTTGCGTCGTTTCTGCGGTAACAACAAGTCTATAAACAAACGCGCATACTTGTGCTTTCCCCTGTCTATGTTGCCTGTAATCTGTTGTATCCTGCAATATAGAGTTCAACTTTGACATTTACAGAAGGAAAATACACATAGCGCATGCTCCTCCACTCTGGAGTGGAGTACAGACCACACATACTTAAATGTAAACATATACATTTATGCATATAGACACTTATAGAACGCTCAAAGGACGCTAAACAAAGAACCCGCCAAAATTCAAATACTTTCTTTGGTTCAGGAAAATTATCGATAAAAATAAACCCATATCTGCTTTTCATTCGTATAGAACGAAATTGCGCGCCAAGTTTGAAATATTTTAAAAGCAAACGCAAATTATCTGTTAAATGCGCAATAATAATAATTATAATAAATGTCTTATGAAATAACGTGAAAGCTTTCTAGAATTACACAGAATTAGGAATGACGGATGTATTTTAATTAATTTTATTAATATAAGAATTTTAAGATAGTTACATTGCCAAAACAAAAAGTAAAAATAAAATAAAACTAGCGGAGGCAAAAAAAAAAAAAAAAAAAAAAAAAAAAAAAAAAACCAATTCTTTTTTGGTTTTTTTTTTTTTTTTTTTTTTTTTTTTTTTTTTCTATAAAAGAATATAGTGCATTTTGCTTACACAGAACAATTTTCACATTTTATATTGTTCGAGCAGCTCTGGGATTGGGATTTTCGTTGATGCCTCCCTTATATTATGGCCATGCCCTTCACTAAAACATAAGATGTGGGATTTTGGGTGTATGTATATGTAGTTTGTAACTGGTAAAGCTGCTTCAGAAATAAAGGCTATGGCTCTTGTGTGGGTTAGCGTGGTGCGATCAGCGACGGAAATAGCAGCATCAATGGAACATCAGCTAGCGGCCCAGAATGCTGCGTGACCATTGTTTGACAATCGGCTTAGTCTTCGCCTGTTCGATGCGCTCAGCTTCCTGCAACTGTTCTGCCAATTTACGCTGATTTTCCCTGAACTGACTAATAGGATCCGCAAACTGACGATAATAATGTAGAACTTCTCGCACGTCGTCCACCTCATTTTGCGCAATGGCTGCAAGACAGAAAGTTGATTTTCGGATCAATTAAGTCTGCAATTAAATATTAATGTATTCATATGTGACTCACTCTTCAGAAAGGATATCAAATCAAATAGTTGGGAATCATCGTCATTTCCATGCCAGCGCGCAATGCCAAAAGTATTGTCGGGATGCATTTGGGTGGCATTTCTATCCCAGTCAACAACAATCACCTGAAACGCATCCAAATCTGTTGAGGATTTGAATAATCTTTAAGTAATCAATGGCGAGACTTACGCGTTTCAGGTCACGATTTAAATTGTCCAGATTTTTGACATGATGCCCATCGATGAAGTGAGTGGCATCGCGCACCAGACGGTACATAATGTAGCCATTGGGGTCGAGGGCATCCAATATCGGAAATACTGTCATACCCTGTTCGGCAGTGAAAACGACAATCTCAAAGTCTTTGGCGCACTCCTGCAAGAAACTATCGACGCCGGGACGCTTCTTGAAGCGCCATCCAGTCTTATATGTCCAATCTGGATGCACGAGCACATCCTTCATCTCCAGCACGAGTGTATAGCGCGGCTGTACATACGGATGCTTGAGCGGATCTGGCAAGAGCTTAGCACGCGACGGTTCCTGAATCATCTTCTGATAGTAGTGCAATGATTTCCACATGCGCTGCAAATACTGCTGCACCAGCGGCTTGTCTATGAACTCATCCTCAATGATCTGACCCTCAGAATCCACTTCGGGCTGTCCAAACTTATAAACGCCCCACAGTATAGTGGCAATGCCGCCTCCGCCAAAAATGGCAAAGCTAATGGACAGAGAATATGCAAATTGTTGCCTTAGGCTTCAGCAGGTTTAAATGTGTTGGTGATTCTTACCCCAGTTTCATGCGCTTCCACGCGCGCTCATTCTCCTTGGCCTCATCCTCCTCACGTTTCTTACGCTCCTGTTCGGCTGTGCTGTCGACATCGGGCGAAGTTTGTGGAAAGAGTTTGGAGAGCAATGGCGACGCTGCCTCTGTCGCTGCTCCAGTCGGTGGCTCTTCTGCGTAAAAGTGTTGAGTAATCAATTGGGTCAGGGCGCAAAAAAAAAAAGAAAAAAAGACAAGAAAAACTACTTACTGGCATTACTATAGCATCTCTTGCCTGCGCTAGCAGTCTGCACTTTATTTGTGTGGATCCCAGCAGCCGTAGTAAGCGAACGGACATGTAGAGGCGACGACGTCGGCGACAATGGCAGCGACTGATTACCCAATGCAAATGTGCGCCGCAATCGGTTGGCCAGTGTGTTGAGGGAAGCACGTGGTGTATTTAAGCGAATTAATTGTATGACTGGAACTGGCGCCATGCTCATTTTTATGTTTTTGAAGTGCTGCGCACAAATTCCTTTGCTTTCTCACTGACAAAATGCAGTTTTCCTTAATTGCTTCAGTTGGCCAGGTTGAACCCCCTAGGACTTGACCGGCATGGCAGCGAAAATTCTTGCATATGCTGTCTACCGTACGGTCACACTGGCCCAAATCAGCTGACTTTTGTCTATCGAGACGATCTGGCAGCGCCACCAATTAGAACTGGCAAACAAAATTGTGTATAAACAATAGCCAAACAAGCGCAGCCATAACGGCAACGGGATCGAATACGAGAAGAGCAAAGAAGATTCATTTTAATTTAAAATAA